TATATATATATATATATATTTATATCCCACCTTTATTTTTATACAAGTCGAGGCAGCATGCATAATGCTCCCTCCTTCCATTTTCCCCACAACAACCCTGTGAGGTGGGTTGGGCTGAGAGAGAGGGACTGGCCCAAAGTCACCCAGCTGGCTTCCACATCTAAAGGAGGACTAGAACTCACCGTCTCCCAATTTCTGTTCCAGCACCTTCACTGCTGCACCACACTGAACCTTCTAGTTTCTCAAGCTCTCCCTTTTCTTTGAACACCAGTCTTTTCTGTCTTGTGAGTTGTAAGTTTCCCAGGCTGCCTTCCCGTTCCATCCGAGAAAGTGGACAATTACTAGCTCAATTTAAAACCAAAAAATGGCCCTGTTTTTAAGGCTTTAAGAAAAAAAAAGAATGTGATATCTGCCTTTTAAAATTCAGGGTATCTTCACAGCATCTCATATCCCTGTATAAAAAAAAGGTTAAAACTTTTAACGTAATTTTTTGAGAAGTTAAAAGCAACTGTCAAGAAATGAAAATGAGGGGTAGAATTAGCAGTTAAATCTCAAAGATGTCAATTAAAAAAAAAATTCCTTAGCTTTGTGTGGTTTGACCCCACTCAGAATAACATAGTTTGCTAGGGCAAGGCTGGTGGCTTGCAACAAGGCCTTTTCTGTGGTGGCAGTTGGGTTTCGGCATTGCAACTTCCTGGAGACCAGACCAGAGAGGTTCATGGGTGGCTGGGTCTCAGATGAGCAGAGAACAAGAAGTTATTTGTCATGCGTCCATGGGAATTGCTTTACTGTTTATTCCTTTGTTTTTAATGATGGTTTTGTTGGTGACATTTAGACCTAACTGTACTTTACTGAGAGAACTGTACTGTGCAAACAGTAAAGTAAGCTATCACAATAATGAACTCCTCCAAATGTGACTTTCTTATGAAGCTGGAATAGCTCCATCCACACAGGAGGAGAAAGAACACAAGAAATCTAAAGGCCAAGTCCAGTCAGGACTGAGCATGCTCAGCAAGCATGAAATGATGACCGGCTTTAGGGGACAGAGAAGCAGAACATCTGTGGTGTGGGCCACACACATGGACAAGCATAAATATTCTACATTGAGTCACACCTGGGTGACCCTGTTATATCTGAGCAGTTCTTTAGTTCTTTTTTTTATTAATTTGTATTGAAAGTTTTACATAACTAAAAGACAAATACGGAAGTATAGAAAGAAAGCAAAAAAGAGAAAAGAAAAAGTGCAGAAAAGAATAAAGAAAAGAAAAGAAAAGAGAGAGTTGACTTCCATCGTTCTTTAAAGCAGTTACAAATCATTATCCCCCCTCCCTCCTTAACATTACAATAATCCCCTCAGCCCCTTGTTCAACCTTTTTTCAATGGATTTTTTCAAATCCAGAAATCACCATTTCACCTTTTTCCCATTTTCAGCAAAAGTCCATAAAAGGTTTCCAGTCTGTTATAAAAGTACTTACTTTTTTGTCCTTGACCAAAAAGGTTAGTTTTGCCATCTCTGCTAGCTCTGCATCTTCACAATCCATTCCTTCGTTGTGGGTGTTCCGGTATTTCTCCATCTTCATGCATATAATAATCTCGCTGCAGTTACTATATATAAAATCATTCTTCCATAAGTCTTTTCTAATTGACTATCCGTAAGTCCCAATAAAAGAAGTTCTAGTTTCATCTGTCAAAGTTAGTCTTCAAAATTCTTTGTATCATCATCAGCTGTTTAGTTCTAACTACAGTGGTACCTCGGGATAGGAACTTAATCCGTTCCATGACTCGGGGCGTATCCGGAGTTGGTTGTAACCCGACGCAAATTTCCCCATAGGGTTCAGTGTAAATCCGGTTAATCCGTTCCGCCCTCCAAATTTGGTCG